AAAAATGTTATCAATTGAAAATGTTAAGGTACATAACTTCAAACTTTCTGACTAATACTGATGTCAGCGCAAATGAAATAAAAAAGGTATTATTTATTTTATATTATTAAACGTTTCTTTTCACTATAAAATGATGATTTCTCTGCAGTTAGTATTAGTGGTAGAGAGAATAAGATGTAAAATATAAAACTTTTGATATTCATTTAGGAAGCTCTAGAGGTTATACAACTGAAATGCGACAATTGTAAAACGAAAAGAAGTATTTATATTTCTAGTATTCATGCCATTTTTCTTTTAGACTGACTCAGTAAAAGCTTCAGAAATACTAAATACAACAAACATTTAACATCTTCTAAAAATTCGTGAAAATACACAGTAAATTCACTTATAGTAAGTATCGTTTCACAGTTCAAAGGTTGGCCAATTTTATGGTTATAGGGTTAAGTGGTTAACTTACCCACAGTGTTATAGCCTATTTCTTTTGTTGCGAGATGGCCATCCCAATATGAAACTCTATTCGTGCATTTCTGGCTAAATGGCTTTTGCTTCATTCCTTTTCCAATGAAACTAATATGTCTGTCCCAATGTTTGAAAGAACTAACTATCAATGATCTTTCATTTTATATTTTTGATTAGCTTATGACCTTGACAGTTTCATTGTCAAAAAAAATATATATATATACATATATATAATAATTTGAAGAGTATGATCATAACAGCATAAGATGTTGGTAAAAATTAGAATGATTCCACCAAAATATGAATGGTTGACATCCCTGTACACTAAGTACAGTAACAGAATCAATTTAAAACTTACTTTAAAAGCCAGATAATTTATAGCAGTCTTAGGACATTCTATTCTATTTACCGATATAGAACTTATATCTTTATATAACTTTATTACACCAAAATATTACATATCAACAGGAATACACATTCTTGGATTTAATATGGCTGTCCCAACTTTTGAATGGATTAATTATCAATATGATTTCTGATTGGCCAATATTTTATTCACAGTTATGAAAGTGTTCAAGTCTGGTTTGAGTACAACTGCAAAAGTACATGTTCTTAACTAGTTATGAAATCGACAGAGTCATTGTTTCCTTTCATACCCCTAACAAATTTACTGGGCTGTGTTATATCAAAAACTTTAAGTGTACGATCATAATGGCTTAAAGTTGTTTGCAAAAATTAGAACGATTCCACCAAAATATGAATGATTGACATATTTGTATATAAACTTTACCTGCTATTAAATGTTTAAACTATATTATACAAAGAACATGTATCAACAGACAACCTCAAATAAAAGGGATTCTGGAACCAACAGCCGAAGGCACATATATATCTAAATGCCCATAAAAACTTCTACATTAAAATGATTCATTTAAACTTAACAGATAGAACTAATCATGGGAAAGGTGTTAATTGTACATCAGTATTTTTCTCCACTGCTTTTTCAAGGCTAATTTCATAAAGATAAAAACTGTAAAGTTTGGAACATAATAACCTTAACTGGGCAATGAATACATATTTATACTTAAGATCATTGGAAAAATATATTCTATGCTAGCTTCATTTAGGTCAAATATAAAAATTAAACCTCTTAAAATTAGTCAGGAATAAGTTATATCATCTTGTTATCAAGTTTTTTATAATATCATTAATTCATAACTGATCAAGTTCTCTTTGATTGGAACTTAGTCCTAATCTAAATTACACCTTGAAGAGATAATAGATTTTCTACCCAACAACGTCTTTACTTCTCAGCCTAACCTCACAGGAGAATATAATTCAGCAGAGTTTTAATCATTTCATTTCATAAAACATTCGGATATCCAAAGGTTAAAATGGTTGAGGTTAAAAATTACATCAGAGTAAGCTGAACTCTAATAATATGAAACTGCTATTTAAAAACAAACATTTATCTGTAACAACTAACAAATCTAAATATCGATGTATTCATGAATATATATAACATTTATTTTTCATAACATATTGTATATTTTACAGCATAACAGCAATATCTTCAAATTTGCTTATCTGTAATTCTGTGTATTTTCCTTTCACTAAGACAAACATAATGACAACAGTTCTGTTTTTTTCTGTATATTCAAAATATTCTGAGTTACAAATGTTAAAATTTGTATTAAATAATTCATTTCTTTTGTTATTAAACTTTCCTCTTATTTTTGGTTAACTGCTAGTTCTTTTAAAACCACTTTTTAAAACAAAGCAGTACCATTAACAAACACAAAATATAGATCATAAAATCCAAATAAAACAAAGTATATTGGCATTTTCACTTATAATACGACTGGAATGACAGGCCCGTATAGGAGAAGAGGGCACTGAACTGGATAGGCAAGTTCCAGATGTATCTACAACTTGTTTTTCTTCCAATTTAGCTAATACCTGGAGAAAAAAATTGTTAAATATTAAACACCTGTAAAATTCAATTATCCAACTTTAAATTCCAAATTGTAAGTTTCAGTTGTGTTGATGACATCCTAACCAAATTTCAAGGAATAAGTTTCAGTTGGGTTAATGATATCTCAATGAGATTTCAAGCTATAAATCTTAGTTATTTTAATGATATATCTATCAAATTCCAAGTTATAAGTTTCAGTTGTGTTGATGACATCCTAACCAAATTTCAAGGAATAAGTTTTAGTTGGGTTAATGATATCTCAATGAGATTTCAAGGTATAAATCTTAGTTATTTTAATGATATATCTATCAAATTCCAAGTTATAAGTTTCAGTTGTGCTGATGACATCTTAACCAAATTTCAAGGTATACCTTTAATGTGATTAGCCTATTAACCCTAAGTATCTTGGGTAAGCTAACTTTTTCAATTAACTCGTATCTTTTGCTCTCCTCATGATAAACCTCTAATCTTTTCTCTCAACGTTGCCTTTAATTTCAAGAGTACCAAATTCTCATCAATATGTTACTAGGAAAACTAAAACGTATAATACCTTGAACTTTGGTTAAGATGTCATCAGCACAACCAAAATTTATACCCTTAAAATTTCATTGAAATGTCATTAACCAAACTAAAACTTAAAATCGAAAAAATAAATGAATTTGAGAACTGACAGATCAAATGAAGATATCAGAGATCTAATATCTACACGAATCACTTAAAATATCACAGCCCATTTTTCTGCCATAAGTACACGTTTTCTCAAATCAAAACAGACTACACTATAAGGTAATACTAGTGCCTGATATTTGCTTAACAAATCTTTAAGCTTCCATTGCAGGACCTACCTGTAATAGTTTGGTTTGAATGGTCCAGCTTTGTTGAGACCCATGTACTTGGCTTGTTCATCTGTAAGCTCTGTGAGGTGAGCATCAAATACTGGCAGATGAAGACTGGCTACATATTCATCTAGAAGAGAAGTTTCCATCAGCAACAGTAACCATGAAAGTGTAGTTTAGTAAAAATGAAAGCTTTTGACTTTTCTGTTTTACTCTGATCTAAAAGGATTTTAAAAGTCTTCTTCAATCCTTAAATTTAATTTTAAAATTACTTATTAAATTCCTTTGTTCTTGAAACCAAATTAATGATACATATATAGCACCAATGACGCAAACCATTTCTGTCAGCGATCAACTGTCAACTTTATGATTTTTGTTGTTGTTGTTTGGGTTTTGTAGGTAATGTGATGCCATGAAAAAATTATTTCTAATGGGAAGTATATGTAACAGCTCTTTGTGATGCAAAATACTTAAATCATAAAGATGTGTTCAGATTGAGGCTTAAGAACCTGCATGATAGAGATATGCCTTTTGCTTAATAGTACTAGAGGACAAAGGAATATGAATCAACTTAGGGTACCAAGACAATCCAGAAAGAGACTTGCAACAATTCGTGCCCCGGCTGTGATAAGTAAATGAGAAATCTTATAACAGGTGAGAATCCAGAAACAAAAAGGTCTGTGACAAAAGCCATGCACAAGCCCCAGGCAACAGTATGTAAAACAATCAAGAAAGATATCCATCTGGAAAAAAAGGAAGTCATGTATACACAAGTTGCTTCCATGATATATTTATTCAACCAATCGCATACCCAAAGCACCTTGAGAACGAAATGGGTAGTCATGCTATTCCATATGGAGACATTCCAGTCAAGATGCCAGAAGCAACACCTATGGATTTCCATGCAAGTGGACTGTTTAAACAGGTGCTGGGAACCAATATCCTTTTATACTAAATGGTTTATGAAAAGCAAGCAAAGAAGATTGTGCTTTAGATATGACAGCCTAACCCAAAGAAGATGGGTAAGAAGTTCTTAAACATCTGTTGATTATATCTTTAAGAGTTGTAGTGTTAAGCAACAGAATAGTAATACATGTAGTTTTAAAAAATATTTTTCAATGTGTGCAGTAAAGATTTTTTATATTTTCAATCAATTAAACTTTCCTAAGTTCTTTAGCTAAACCTTTTCAATTATTGTATTGCTGACTTGAGGTGTAAGCATTTGCAGAGAGTGAGTTTGTTATTTTAAAATGATCTTTGAGTCTGTCTGTGTAATTACAGTTCATGCCACCATCTCTTGCTTCTTGACAATATCCCTGCAGTGGTTTTTCCATTGCAAAAGGCTCTTTTTATAAGTTAAGTGTATTCAGATTTTTACCCTATAGATATCAAGAAAAAAGAAAGAACTGTGTATATGATGGTTAATATGAAAACTTGCTAATCTTTGGAAGTAAAGAAAGAGCGCTTAACATTTCTTTGAATAAAAAAAAACAAAACGAGTCTGATGTATAGCATTCATGTGTTTTCCTTGATATACTTGTTAGTTAGTAGATAGTATAAATCAGCTTGTCCGTATGTGCATGATGTAGGGTCGTCTCGTCAATCTCAGCTGCTCCAGTATTCCTTCATTTGTGGTGTCAATCACTGCAGCTTCACAAGCCTTGGCCCTAATTGAATTATATAATGCCCCAAGTGGACGATACAAGAGTGATGTTTATCTTCTTCTGTTCACATAGTTCTTAAGTCTACCTTATATTCAATGACTTAACTTCATGTTCTTTTCTTTACATTCTCACAAATGAAGATGTACTGGTAGTACGCTCATCTTCTGGTTTTCTTAGTTTAATGGCAAGATATTCTAGTATCCTGAGGCGGAATTCTTCCTGGGAACGAATAATGATGTGGACAAAACTGGAGATAAGCACCTCATCACATTTATTTAGTGATTAGCAATACTAATGGTTTTGTAGGTTCTAACATTACAGTATTCCAGTGGTTGATCTAATATATCCCTGGTTGTATTTCGGGCATGTGAACTCATATATCCTAAAGTGAAGTATGCAATAAATGTTATTGTTTTTAAAAGTTGAAGAAACCTTTAAATCTAGGCTGTTTTAAAGACATTTCTTACATTAACTTGTGGATATGACTGTTTGATAATTTTATTTTTAATCATGTATGAAAGAATGCCTATAAAGTGTATGACAAAAGCAAGATTTTTTCTTTGGAACATTAAACCTAACAACTGATGGAGTATTGGTGTGGATTATTTAATTCAGAAAAGATAACAGAAAGCAATTTCTTCTAAACATTAATATTCTCAATTTCTTCTTCAAAAAACGTTTTGATTTCCTGATATTTCAAATTTTCTGTATAGCAGGGTTTTAATTAGATTTTCTTTAAATTAAAGATCAAAAAAGTGAAACTTTCAAGATGTGAATAACAGTCAGTGAACATGGATTTATGATGTGGTGAGTATACCCTGGTTGTTTAAGATATGTACATCTAACAACCGGAGTTTGTAATTCTGTTCATCTTCAACAGTAAACTTTAAACATTTAAAAACTGGAGAAATACATTAACCAACTCGACAGTGATAAACATTAAAATATCTCCTGTAATATACCACCGTCTAAATGAATTTGTTGTGCATACTATCAGTTTTTTTTTGCATCATCCACCATTCCCAGGAAAAATTGTAACTTAGAATGCTCTTGCTGTTACACTAAGAAAACCAGCATTTAACCAGAAGTGCACTATCACTACATCTTCAATTGTGAAAATGTAAAGAACAAAACAGAAATTTTGATCTGTTCACATACTAAAAACGACTGACCAAACACGTGCAAATTCAAATCTCTGAATCAAAATGAGAATCAATTATTTTAGAAGACAATGTTCATTCATATAGTAGTCCAAAAGTCTATCAGAACTTAGAAACAAGTTACTAAACCTCGGCTATCAAAACAATCCTTTTTCCATCAGGCCAGATGACATGGTCTACTTGGGAACGAACTTTCTCCCATGTCAAATTAGGTGTGCGGAGGCTTTGCTGCAAAGCAAAGATAAATGTCATAAGTAAAAAAAAAGTCTAGCATATTATTAAAATAGCTTTAAACTGTATTAGGTTATATATCTGAAATTCAAATTTCGAAACTGAAACATTTACCTTAGTGTTTAATATTTAATTAAATAGTTATTAATGTAATTTTATTGTTAATTTTTTCCCAATCTTTTTCTGATTATGTATGATAAGATTTAGATTAGACTTTTAGCACAGTTATTGTATTACAAAATCTTTTTGTTCAAAAAAGTATCAACAAATGAATTTTTACGAAGAACACAGAATTATGTCAAAAACAGCATAAAGCTTTTCAAAAAGTTCACAGCAGGTCAGAAATTGCCACAAAACATTTAAAGAAAAATAATAATAAGTATAAAAGGGCCTGGCATGGCCCGGTGGGTAGGACGCTCGCGTCCCACCAAAACATGCGCGCCCTTTTAGCCGTGGGGGCATTATAATGTGACGGTCAATCCCACTATTCCTTGGTAAAAGAGTAGCCCAAGAGTTGGTGGTGGGTGGTGATGACTAGCTGCCTTCCCACTAGTCTTACACTGCTAAATTAGGGATGGTTGGCGTCAGGAAGGGCATCCGGCCGTAAAAACCCTGCCAACACCAAAAAAATAGCGACCCCGTATAGATACGGGAAAAAGCTACAGAATAATAATAATAATAAGTATAAAACATTTACAGCAGAAGGATGTGTATCAATATACTAAGTCATGTTTATATCCTCATAAGATACAAAAAAGTCAATGTACTGATACAATGTCTTAATAGGATTTCCTATAGTTATAACCTATGTCTCCTGTAGCAATTAGGAGCAATATGGAACTCAGAGGATGTTCTACAATTTGATCAGGACAAAGCATTGACAACCATCTATTGTAATGATTCTGTCAGCACCAATGTCTAGATCTTCTAATCTCTCCTTTAAATATCTATTTGATTTATACTTAACTCCTAACATTCAGTTAATACCATACATCCTACCACAAGAGGCAGAAGGTAATTTATGGAAAACAACAAGATCTCAGGACTGGATGAAATTACCAGTAACACGTTATATTTATTGCTTGTTTTGGAACACTGAATTTTGTTTTAGATTGTTGACTTTACCCAAATAATTTCATATAATGCCAGCTATCATATTATTTGGAAAACTTTTTTGAATTACAAATATTCTAATTTGTTAAATTCCTTACGTGCTAGCTATTTTACAAGCATGGTGATTTAGCATTTTACTTAAGTTTGCTTTAAGTAAATCTGGAATCCAAGCGTTAAAATTAAAACATAAGTTTGTGTTTCCTTACACAACACTTCCATTATTATTACGTATTACAGTATAAAAAAAAAGATGACATTCTTTCTGTTGTTTCACAGTAAATCTTATACTTTTATGTTGATTATTAAGATTTTATAAAAACAAACATGTTGAACTTCACTAAATATGACAAAACATAATTTTGATAATATATAGGCTCGAAGTGCAATGGGCAATTTTCCAACTATTGTTTACATAATGGCAAAAAAACGAAGTGGTAAGTAATGATTCTAACCCTGACTCTATTGCATTTCCACCAGTTTGATCATAAATGTGGTCATCAAACAGGATACAAGGTTCTTTGTTGGTAAAGCCCTAGTAATTTCTGGAAAATGTACTTTGAAAATCTTACATCTTCCTTTTGATACATGTACCAATTTTGAGTTCTAAGGTTTCTTCCAAAGAAATAATCCTGTACAAATATTCTACATCAAAACATGTCCAGTACATATTCTTATTAAACTGTAAATTTTCATTTCATTGGAAAATTCAAAACCATTGTTAATAGTATATAAGTATAAAATTCAATGTTCCAAAACAAACAATATTACCACATACAGCCAAACATATACTAAACGTAAAACACCAATTACATAAGCTTTTTCATAAAATCTAAGAATGGTTTTAAACCTGAAAACAGAATATAAAATTTTTTCAAGCATAAAGAACAGAAACATCTGAGGTGATATCGCAAGTTAAATGTCCTAGATGTAATTCTAGGTGTATGTTCAACTACTAGATAATTAGAAACAGTAACAAATACTAAATCTTGTATCAGTGATCATGTGCTTGGCAACCATGGTGTAGTTGTACATCACAGTGTTTAAGATTTTCACCACATGATGTGATGATATAACCTTTTGTGCGAGAGATGTTACCGATTATCAAACTGAAAAAAAAGAGTTTTGACTAAATTAAATACTGTTTTCAATATGAGATTATTTTAAATCTGTAATTGAAATTATGTGCAAATACTTATAGATCTCATCATAATGATGATCCATTGTTTGTGTGTGTAAGCAACCTACACCCAGAGTTGACTGGCTCAATTACTGAATTTTCAGTATGGTAAATAGAAACTGTTCAACAGAGTACATAGGCTACCTAATTTTAAGATGTTTGCCCAACAAGGAGGATAGAAAAAAAAAACCCTGAGGTAAGACACATTTCACCTTTTTTAATATACTTTTGCCTTGCATCATATCCATAGTTGGCTGGATCGTTATTTTTTTTTTTTGTATGGTAACTGGAAATTGTCCAACAGTGTACATGGATTTATTTAGTTTGAGGATTTCTGCCGATTAAGAAGGATAAAGAAGATTCTGAAACAGGGTAGATACATTTCCACTTTTGTAGACTTTTGATACTGAATTTAAAGACACAAGTACTAATCAGTTAATTATTACCTTCCACAAACCAGTGTATGCGATTAGCATTTAATGAGGTCATTATGGATTCAATATCAAATGAAAGAAGAAAGGGGAAACATTGACCTTTATACAATTTTTCTTCCTTAACAGGAACCTTTAAAATACAAGTAAATTAAATCATTGCTTAAGTTAAACACATATTAAAAACAAATTTAGCTTATGAAATTAACTTTTTTTTCAGTATTTAAAACATTTTTTTTGTAAAAAAAATATTCTGACTCTAGCAAATGCCACTTAAATCTTAACTCTGGAAAAAATTAACACTTAAACATACTTATCTTGCCATTTGATTTCATTACTTAAGTTGAAAATTATATAATTAGTGATTCTATTTATTAGACTGTTAGACCTTTTCCACTCCATGAACCAGGAATAGAGGGTTACAGTTTTGTTTACCATTTTAAAATGAAATAAGGAAGAAACAGCATTATCACCAATTTCTAACACACGTACGAGCTATAAATTTCATGAAAATCAATCTTTCACTAGCCTTTTTTCCTTTCTTTCTTTTTTGTCTTTATTATTGTTTCATTGGTTTGCAAACCAGTGTTTGAGTTCCACTGCACTTGAGGGCTCATGCATTAAGTTATTGAAAGGTTTGATTTGTTTTGAATTTTGCACAAAGCTACACGAGGGCTATCTGCACTAGCTATCCCTAATTTAGTAGTGACAGACTAGAGGAAAAGCAGTTAGTCAACGCCACCCACCACCAACTCTGAGGCTACTCTTTTTACCAACAAATAGTGGAAATGACCATAACATTATAACACCCCCAAGGCTGAAAGGGCAAGCGTGTTCGGTGACAAGGATTTGAACACGTGACCCACAGGTTGCAAGTCAAGCACCCTAACCACCAGGCTTATTGAAGGAAAAGAAAAATATGCAGGAAAAATACCACATCTATTTCTGTGTTTGAATGTCCCATGTTACAGATGATGCAACCATTTTTCATTTTATCCATATGCTCTCTGGTGACAACGTTTTTGTTACCTGATAAGAAAAAATATATAAAACAAGGGTTAGGAACAGCATCTTCATACTACATAGAGAACTCCACTAATGCTCACAATTTTGAAGATAAAATAAAAATATTATTTCAATTTGGTTATCCGTTGAATAGCATAGGACTAAGATTTATTGGGTAAATGCCATTTTTTCTTCAAACACACAGTACCCACAGTTTTGATTACCTTTTAGTTGACAAATAGAAATAATTTGTTACTTTTCTCCTAATGAACTTAAATCTTAAGTGTTCGCCATTGAAAAATATAAAATTTTCATAAATTACATAAAAATACCTGTTGCTGTGATCAAAATGTCAATATTTCGAATAATTTCATTGGTCTTCACAACTCGAAAACCATCCATGCTAGATAAAAAATATAAAACATGAAATATTCTTAAGATAGTAACAAAAATTTAGATGATATACTGACAAGTGTTATACCAATTTTATTACAGTATCCTGTGACAACAGTCAAAAGTGCATTATATGCAGTAAAAAAAAACGTTTTCACCCCATTACCTGCTAGAGTGAAATATATAAACTTCAAAATAATCTATCTTATCTTCAGCTAAAATGAGCAATTATACTTTAAAGTCTGCAAGTTCCAAAAATTTGAATTTTTATCATTTTTAAAGTGTGTGTATTAAATACAAAGGTTTAAAAAAAGGTTTTCTATTCTACATATATTATAAAGAACTTACCAGAATTTCATTTTGTTCAACTGGTTTTTCAAGTTAAATAAGAAAATACTACACTAATAACAAAGAATTATGATCTAAGAGAGACAGAATACAACAGATCATAATTCTTTGTTATTAGTGTAGTATTTTCTCTCTTAGATCATAATTCTTTGTTATTAGTAAAAGAGAGAAAATACTACACTAATAAAGAATTATGATTTTTCTTTTTCAAAAGTATATATTTATCAAAATTGGTAACCTTCAGAGTAATAGTTAGAAGTTATATGTCAAACAAAAAACAATTTACTCACCAATACAAAGTTGCATATTTACCAGAAATAATACAACCGTCACAATAATAATAATACAAAAAATTCATACTTATCAAAACTTGACTAGAAATTACACAGACATAACAGCACAGATATTTCATATTTATTACATGAAAGGAAAACTTAGTTCAAAAAGTACAGAGGTTGTAGTTATCAGAAATAATTCACCACATAAATTTTTCACTTACTAAATGTAAGAAGAAAAAAAGAATTCACTGAATAACACAGAAGTATAATCTTACCAAGCTTGAAGAGCACAGATTGGATCAATTTCAGTAACATAAACTATGGAACCCATTCCTTTCAGGGCTGAACAACACCCTTTACCAACCTATAGAAATCAACAAAAACAAGTTTCATGGTTTACAAGTTAAACAATTTACTTTTATATATATAACACATGTTAAGGTTTTACAAGTCTTTGTACAAGAGCTGCTAAAAAACTGAAAACACTGTGGGTGATATACCATACCAGATTATCTAGATCCAAAATACTTAGTTCACTAGTTTAGTGTTCCAAATTTAGTATTTTCATTTAAAACAACCATGGTATTATTTCATTTCATTCTATTTTACAAGACATTTAATCAAGTAGTGACCACCTGCTAAAGTCTTTTTTTTTAATTATAGCATATAATTTAATGCTACTTCCAGTTTCTTATTACTAAGATGAACAATACTAATAAGGTTTTTTTTTACAGAATCTTACCTCACCATATCCACAGACCAACACTTGTTTGCCTCCAAACATGACATCCGTAGAGCGTTTCAATCTGGATTAAGTAGATAACAAATAATCAATCTTATCAACTTTGAATACTGCAAGCAAGACCTACAATAGTTCTATAATAATAATAATCTGAATATATATATATTTAAATTTCTACCATTCACACATCAAGCAGAATCATCAATTTATCAATAAGTATATTTAAAATAAATGATGACACAAACTATGATATAATAGTGTTAATTGTAATATTCTTCTTAAACCATTTTCAGGCTTAGTGATTATGTTATTTTTGGTAGGGGTTATGAATGGAATGCTATCACCAGGAAATAGCTTTTATTTATCATTGCAGTTTGTAGTTGGTGTTCAAAAACTTGCTTTAAATTTGCTCTATCATGAAAAGCCAATTTTTTCTTTATCGGATGCATAAAGTGAATGATAGGATATTGTGTGATTAACCAATTACATCTGCTCCTAATTTAAATTAATTCAAGATTTAAAGATTTGTTAGCCTAGATGTGTGTACCACTACTGTTGGGCTACTTCCACAGCATCCTGCACCATCAAAACACTGTACAAGCCCACAGAGCCAGCCTTAAGGCAAGGCAGCTGCCTAGGGCCCTTCACCATGGGAGACCTGCACAGATATATTTACGAGTGTATTTGCATTTATGTCAAAGCTACTAAAGCCATCTGCTGTCATCCCTAATTTTGAACTACTGACCAGAGGGAAGGCAGCACCATGGTAACCCACCATCCAAACTAAGGGAGTGACTGTCACTCTTATAATGCACCCGCAGATTCACAACCTGCTCCCCAGCAGCAAAATAATCTACAAAACAACCACTCAAAAAGAGAAATAATTACAACAATATCTTTTTTGGAACTATTCTTTTTTTTTTTTTGTCAGGGCTAAGGGTGTTACAAAAGTAAGTTCAGTTATTTATGAATTTAAACAGAGGGAATTAAGCAGGAAAAAACACTGTTTTTATATACAAGTTTATAAACCATAATTTCGTTTTTAAAATTCATTTTCATGAAACAATGTTGGGAAGCTTTAATATTTAAGGTCACAAGAAATTAAGTTTGATAATTGGCAATTAATTGTTTGTCTAACAAAAGTAAACACGAGTCTTATCACAAAAGCAATCAAAAGATCAAGAATCATTCTATGTAAATATACCATGATGTCCAATATGAAGGACAGCAGGTAGCAACCGTTGTCATGGGTGTTATCATTTGACGAAAGTTATTGATATTTTATAAACTGATGTTCTTAATTTTGCTGAATTGGATCATTTTTATTTAAAAAAACAACAGGATGAAGGTCAAGTATAATTCTCTAAGTTATTAAAAGTCAAAGCAGTGTATTTTAACCTGTTGATCTGAATATTTACTGTCTTGTAGGTCTTTTAATTAAATCTAATTACTTCTCGCACAATGTTTCTAAACAAAAACATTGTACAACTGAGCTATATCCAGTCATGTATATTTGAAATCCCTCATCACATTGATTAAAAAAGCCTTAACTAAGTTTACCTTCAAGTAAAGAGTGGTACAAAATAATATTTGAACTTACGCATCAAGAATGCTCTCTCTGCAACTGTAGAGGTTGTCAAATTTTGTCTGCATGGAACGGTACAGAGAGTCAATTTTCTTCATTTATACTCATAGCAATAAAGGAAGTAAAGTTTAAAAGTCAAGAACTTTTGGGCCCCGAAACTCCAGAATTAGGAACTAAATTAGCAACTTTATGAGAACCAAAAGGACTGTATAAAAACCTTTAGAATAACATTTTTATTTTGTAATCTCCACCCAAAAGCTATAGAATTGTTATTAATTACACCATTAACCAAATAGAGTATTATACATAATAATATCAAATCAATCAATAATATTAATAATACTTTTTCAGTTTTGACCCTGGATAGGGTATTGTCAATAGAAAATTTACTGAAAACACCAACATTTAAAGTTAAAATTTTTAAAAAAAAGAAGAAAATTTTAAAACTATTTGTTACAAAATAGAAAGTATAAGAAACCATTTCTTTATAAAAAAAAAAAAAGGGAGACTTTTACGAGCCTTCTTTTTAAACTATGAACTTTAGGATCTAACTACGAGCCCTGCTTAACTAGATATATGTATACAGGCATCATTATTATCTGTACAGAAATACTCAAAATGAATTTTTATAAATATGGTTATGATTTTGTTTGCCAAGATTAATTTATTTAATTTCCTTCCAATCTTTTTAAACATATTTTTCATGACTAAAAGAATATTTTAAGTTTATCTACCACATGCCAAAGATATCTTTTGCAAGAAACTTTCCAAACTTAGTTGCTACTTAAGAAATTTTTCAGTAACTTATTCATTTAATATGAGAAAAATATTATATATATATTTAAAGCAATTGTCCAACTCTACAATGGTGCCAGTTAGTAACATAACAAATAAATGGATTACTTTTATAACAGAGCTTACTTTATAAACCTAAATATGCAAGATTTTTTACAATATCTTTACAACTAACTGTAGATAGTCTTAACTGTTCTAATCCATTACTCATAATATATAGTTTATTCATAATGGACATGTTTTCTTTCATCTACCTAACTATAGAAGTAAAATCTAAACATGTCAATTTGAAAAAATAATTAGCAACTCTCACTTGTTTAAACTAGCTTTAGAATATTATGTTAAACAACAATTTGCAAAAAGACATTTATTACTACCATACAATGCATAAAATCTATGATTAACAAACCTTTGTTACAGAGTCGTTGACATTGATGGCTGGGATGGTTAGTTTTCCAGCTTTAGAAAGCTGGTACAGTCTATGGACTCCTGTAACACTTTCTTCCACAATACCGTTGATCATTTTGAACAATGTAGGATATTTTCTTAACATCAAGTGCGTGGCATCACCTCCATCATCTAAAATCTGCAACAGCCAAGAAAATCATAATTCTCAGTAAGAGTAAATAAATGGTAAATTACTTTGTCCTGTTTATGTGATTGTTATATAGTTTAATAGAAAGTTCATAATCAAAAATGCTAGTTTCTGTACAATTCTTACTACCAGAAGACTAAATATTTTGTTTTGAACCACGTACAAGTTCTATTGTATAAAATATCAGTGGAGTTCGTAAATGACCATTAAAGCTTTCTCTGGCACAATTTAAGAACTTATCAGAATGGTCATTGTTGACCCAAAATAATAATATTTTTTCTGCAAGCAATGTTTTTCTATTTATTACATTTTTTAAATCTTGGACCTTTTTTTTCATCTTACCATGTTTGGTTGCCAATTTTCTGCATTAACACAACGGTCAATGCACCACCAGAAGTCTTCTTCTGTCTCTCCTTTCCAGGCAAACACAGAAATGCCTTTGAAGAATATACAGGGTTTAAAAAGTTAACTTTCTCAAATTGATCCACCTGCTATTTATTCTTTTATTATCAAATGAAATTTCAACCCAACATGCTATACAGTACAACTTTCTCAGAAACATTTTGATCATGGCAAAGAAAAATCTATGAAAATATATATAGATATTGCTCAACTGTTAGCACAAAATATAATTTTCAATGCAATATTCTAAAAATAAAATAAACTTTTGATTCTTTATTTATGATCAAAGTATTTGTTTAAATGCCAGAAAAAATAAATTTACTTTTTTTAGTGAAATTTCTTTAAATTTATGATAATGATTTCAATACAAGACTTGGTTTCACTTCAAATTAGAGATTAACAGATAATATTTTTTGTTTTTACAGTATATTTTTCAGCAATTTCTTTTGGTTCACGAGTTGTTACATTTCTCTATTACAAGTAAATCTCACACAGACATATAATATCCCTAAGTTAGTTTTTCTTTAACTAAACTACAAACTAGTAATTCAGTGCTCAGATTGGTGTCTCTTGAATGGAAATATTGCATTCAGTGGGGTGTCTCAACTGTCCATTATGAAGAGAACAACAAATAAACCAGAGCCATCAACAAATTTAACATGTGTCACTAACTCACAAGCACTACTGTGTAAAATTCAGACAAATACAAATACCTACAAATATCATTAAAATGTTATTTTGACATTTATTATTTTAACTTACCAGCTTCTGCTAAAGCTGCTGCAACTTCATTCTTAAAGAAAAAGAAATAATGTGTTTTCTTAATAATAATATGCTCAGACTGCGTGTTCATAAGAAAGCTACTAATATGTCTCAATTCAACTGGGCTATACTCGATCTGGTTTCAGAATTGCTTTGTCGTACAACCATTGAAGTGTTTGAACCAATAAGATTAGCAGATTCAAACACTGAGCCCACCAATCTGAAAACTGAGAACAGCAGATAACTAATCTGAGGTGTATATAATGCTTAAAACTATTAGTAATAATAATATATTATTCACTGTTTTATTGTATAGTATAGCTACTTACCGTATGCAAGTACAGCAAGCTTGAATCTATGCTCTTTGTGTTAGTAAAGCATAAGCACTGTGTTAAAACATAAATGGTGTGCCGTTTATGTGTTTATTATGTAAAGGTAGGTTCTATGAAATTGTGTGCTAACAAACAACCAGGTCAAGTTTTATAAAGCTGTTAATAAAGCATAAATATACTCTAGCTATTTGTTTCAAAAGGTGGTGAAAATGAAACTATTAATAAAGTATACTTTATATGTTGAAACATATAATTAAACAGCTATATCTAATGTTATTGTGTGGTATGAACTTCCTTGCAGTTAGTAATATATCAGACCTTCTTATGTTAATTAGATTATTTAGTGAGAACTGTTTCTTTTTTCATACAACTGACAGGTTTTGATTGAAACTCTCCTAACCCTTGGAGCATCCGTCAGGTGGGCAGCTTGCAATATCTACTCCACACAGGTGAGTAGCAATGACCATATGTACAAGTATTCACAGAAAGGTGTGTTGTATTTATGTATATACATACTTACATATACGATCAAGTAGCTTAGAAGAATTTAGAAAATAGCTTCTGAACTTGAATTATGTTCTTTTATCATACCATCAAAACAGTATGGGTCACCATGGTGCTGACCAAATAAAATGATATTTAATCATTTCTCACATTAGTAAGTGGCTCACAAGAGGTTACAAAGTTTTAGTCATGAATATAACATGTTAAGTTAATGTATTGCACATATCGAAATTTATAACCCCTTACCTGAAGTCTTGCAACATAATATACACGAAAAGGACAATATTTAATTAGAATAACAACTCATCAAAATAAAGGTAGGTGTGTGTGTACATATATATATATATTTGTAACCCAACATATGCATTATCAATTGGTTATAAATACCAAAGATTTTTAAGATATAAAGGTATATTTGTTTCCATTTACATATTCTCGTGTATTTCTATTCAGTATAGCCCAGTTGAATAAGGCTCACACAGATCATTCTGTCAGTATATCCCAGTCAAATAAAGCTCACACAGATCATTCTGTCAGTACAGCCCAGTTGAATAAGGCTCACACACATCATTCTATCAGTATAGCCCAGTTGAATAAGGCTCACACAGATCATTCTGTCAGTATAGCCCAGTTGAATAAGGCTCACACAGATCATTCTGTCAGTATATCCCAGTCAAATAAAGCTCACACAGATCATCCTGTCAGTATAGCCCAGTTGAATAAGGCTCACACACATCATTCTGTCAGTATAGCCCAGTCGAATAAGGCTACAAAGATCATTCTGTCAGTATAGCCCAGTCGTATAAGGCTCACAAAGATCATTCTGTCAGTATAGCCCAGTCAAATAAAGCTCACACAGATCATTCTGTCAGTATATCCCAGTCAAATAAAGCTCACACAGATCATCCTGTCAGTATAGCCCAGTTGAATAAGGCTCACACACATCATTCTGTCAGTATAGCCCAGTTAAATAAGGCTCACAAATATCATTCTGTCAGTATAGCCCAGTCAAATAAGGCTCACACAGATCATTCTGTCAGTATAGCCCAGTCAAAATAAGGCTCACACAGATCATTCTGTCAGTATAGCCCAGTCAAATAAGGCTCACACAGATCATTCTGTCAGTATAGCCCAGTCAAATAAGGCTCACACACATCATTCTGTCAGTATAGCCCAGTCAAATAAGGCTCACACACATCATTCTGTCACTAAGGTGACTGTGAAACCTTTACTAAAAGACTGCAGTACTCTGACTATTAATGACTACTCAGAGTCTGACACTGGTAATGTTACCAGATCCAACAGATGTTCAAGTCTTAATCTAGAGCAGTACCATAGCCATGATACTTTAATCCAACAATGTAATCATAAAACTGACTCACATCTTGTAACAATGTTTGCCAAAATGCATTTACTAGTTTCATTACAAATTTTGGGGTTCATATATAAAACTTACCAACACTTAACTGTAGAAGAAAAATGTCAAGTTTCTATGTATGTAGGGCCGGATTCTTTACTGTAGGTGTCTGTGACTTGTTGTCAAGAAATTCAAACAATAAACAAACAGTACACAATCCACTTGTTTTAAAACAATATATTCTCTGAAGTAACTAAATTAGCTTGTATGGACTTTTGACAAGAAAAGAGAATTATTTAAAGTCTTAGATACAACTGTGATATCCTATAGTGTAAAGAATTTTTGTACGTATGTTTGACTTGTTTTAACCCAATAAATAAAATAAATTATTTTTCTCTTCCCTGTTTTTTACTCTACAATCTGTCATAAGTTCACTTATGCTACCCCGTGGGTTACTACAGTTGTATCCAGAACTTTAAATAATTGTCGTCAAAGTCCACACATGCAGGTTAAATTACTTTAGAACACCCTTTGCCAAGACAACTTATTCTCCTTATCTTTGTTAAAGTGTGGAACTCACTTTAGAATATCTCCTGTTACAGTTAAACTAACAATCACACAGTCTAATTTCACTTTCACTAACTTAACTTCTTCACTAACATTTTTAGAAATCGCCCATCATATATAGCAATATCGTTGTCGATCCTTGTTGTCAACTTATTGTCATAACGGATAATGCCTGTGGTAACAGCACACAAATGCATTGGGGATACCCCATCTATCGAACAATATCCAAACACCGATGTCAATCTAGTCAGCCGTCGTGGAAAATAAAACAAATCATCAATCAAATAAGGGTACGAAGTTAAGTGCTTAAAACTACAACATCTCAGCTTCTACCGCCTTTCACAGTCTTTTTTGGATTGTATTCTTTATAAGCTGAAATACAAGATCTCAATACCACACACAAGTGGTTATTGAGGGTTATGAAATGTGGCGCCATCTATTGAATGGCACCATAAACAAAAATCCATAAAAATTTACATTTTGGGCAATCAAGATTGAGACAATTAGAATAATAATTAGGTAAGTGCAACAACAATTTCTCTATTACAGAACATAATTTTAAATAAAAGTACTCTTCTTACAACAAGAACACGAATTTTACTAGAACAGTACGTGAGGGTTTGTTTTATATCTTTTATTGGTGTAGTTTTTAATTGTAATACTAAAAAATGAAAGTTCTTAAAAAAATATATAATTTTTTTAAAAAAGGGTACCACTTTTAATATATAAAAACATTACAGTTTATATCGTAACATTTCTGAAAATTTTGAGCTCTGTACATTGAATCATTATGGTGCAAAGAGTTGTATATGACTAAAGAGCTCAATCCGAAAATATTGATTTTTTTTTTACAGTTTCTTATAATGAGATATGAATACTACGATTACTAATACAAACAGCTGCCCGTAGGGTGACATTTCTGCTAGTAACTTAAATGACAATACATTTCCCGATATTTTATTTACTGTCTAAAAGTTTATTTACAGAATGAACTAAAATTTCTCTCTAAAATACCAATACAAACAAAAAATATTACACTACAGAATTTTATAAAAAAATAGAACAATAATTCAGCATTGATTACCAGAAGGATATTTAATAGACATAACTTTCTCGGCACTTACAGCTGTTTGAGCATTCACGTGAGTACACCCGACGATTCTGGCTCCTTTTAATGGTTTGTCTTTTTCAGCTCTCTTTCTTAGAGCCATAATTCCAGGCATTTCTAATGTAAAAACATTCCAAGTGTGAGAGACAAAATGGTAATTTTTTTGTTTGTTTTACTCACAAAAGCACAAAAAAACGGAATTCATTTTAAAGATCGTACAACTATCTATATCTGAAAAATCGTTGTTAAAACCAATTTGTAAGACTCGGATATATATTGCAATGTGGAAATGCTTACTGACTTCTACTGTCTCTGTTCTTGAGATAAACTAGGCCTTCTTCAAGTCACTGTTAATTTTGGGTAATAGAGATTCATGTTTGGTAACGTAGATTTGTTGGCGAGATACTTGTATTCTAAGTGTAGTCATAGTTGTAGCTGTATTGTTTAAGGAATTTGGCCGTATGCAAGCTGTTTTATGATTTAACATAATAATGTTTGTGTTAATCTAATCACTGGTTTGTGCATCTTGATGTAAAGAAATTTTTGATTTTTCTGATATTATTAAATACTAAGTAGCATTCAAGATTGGTGTTTTTATCAGATTACAATGTGGTCCTGTTAACTGTATTCAGTGTAGGTGGATTCTTTTGGGGTGGGTGGATAGGGGAAATATCATAATCTAATGCCATCCTTATGTTCTTTTATTTGATAAGCATCTTTTTAAGTAACTTTGTTTTTTCAGATTTTAAATAAACTTGTTGGAACTTGTTACAGAGCTGGAATTAAATTTCGATAAAACAGTTTTGACTTTGATTTTTCAATGGACTAGTTTGTAGGAGTACTTTGGTTTGTCATGCTCTTCTGACGACCCTAGCAGATCATAATATCACATTTCTTATTAGTGGTTTCTCCTTTTTTGTATCATCTAAAAGGGAACTTTTCTTTCTCCAAGTTCTAGTAAAATCTTCATGGAAAACTTAAAAGTCCAACTAAATGTCAGCGAGAAATATCGGTTTATGACACCTTCAAAATCTGGTGGAACAAACAGGAAACACTTAAAAAGTTTCTTTAATCTCTCAATTCCCCAAACCCAAATGCACAGTTCAACAACAGATGTAAAACAAAAAATTAAATAAACAGAAAACTAAACAAAGAAATATACTCAGTAAAACATGCATTCACTTGTGTCAGGTTTTAGGTATGAGTGTTAAAGATTTCTTTTGTTTTTCACCAGAGGTGAAATTTAAAAGAAAATCTGTGATATAGAGGCCTAAGGCATTTTTTGATAGGCCGTACCCTCTGCTGTGGACTGCAGTTTCACCTATTCAAGGCTCATTAACACAGCTTGGGTCAGCAAACCAGAGAAATACCATTAGGTCTTTATTAGTAGGGAAGTTTATACAATATCTATGGGGTTTTGTGTCCGTTTTAATACACCATATTGTAACCTAAATTAGTTTAGGTATTTGAATAATATTACGACATTTTGTCTAATTTATTATCCAGTACTATATAACAGCTCAACTGTTTAATGATTTTATCTGTGTGTGTGCATATATATGTTAAAGGTTCTTTTTTTTTCAATGATGAAACAGTTGGTCTGCTGTATGATATTGAATAAAGAATTTGACGAAATGTCATAACATTATTCACATAACTAAATTAATTTAGGCTACTATATGGTAAAAAACCGACTGAAAACCCCACAGAAGTGCAAACTGTGTTTATAAAACACCTATGCCTCAACTAATGTTATACTTTAAGCCCCCCCCCCCCCAGCTTGATGATACAGTACCTGTTGATGATGTGTTTAGTTTAAATTTGAGTGTGTATTAAGAAACGGTTTAAATAGCACGTAGCTGATACTAACGACACAGATTTGACTGGAATAATGTCCAGATATGGTCTAAACATGCTCCCGGTTTGTTGGTAGGCCGAGTGCCTATCTGCTTGACACTGAAGTTGCCCATAAGTTTCTTCAATGGAGAGCAAAACTTGGATAAAGCGTCAAAGTTGAAGTCTCCCACAATTATACAGTAAGCAGTAAATGTATCTTGCGGATATTGTAAAATGTGCCAAAGGCCAGACAAGAATGTTTTCCGATATATTGCTGTAAACCAGTACAGTAAAACAATTTTGATTGAGGAGGCAGATTTGTCTAGAACACTGACGAACAACAAATCCTCTAGACTGATGTAAGATGGCAGTGTGTATTAATGGCTGGCGATTGAATTATTAACAAATATTGTAACTCCATGGAAAATTTTCCTTGAATCCTGTTCTTTCTGAAGTAGACTGAAGTTTGAGGTGGTGTGTTTGTCTTCACCATTTCTAAACACCTAACAACAAAGTTTTGTGTACATATGTACAGAAAATGATAACTTAAACAAATAACCAGATCTGTTATTAGTATGTTCAGCTGTTCACTATTTTGTGTAATTGTGGAAAATTGTAAACAAATAACCAGACCTGTTATTAGTATGTTCAGTTGTTCACTATTTTGTTTACAGTTTTCCACTATTACACTAATAACAGATCTGGTTATTGTATGTTCAGTTGTTCACTACCTTGTGTAATAGTGGAAAACTGTAAACAAATAACCAGATCTGTTATTTAATATATTCTCTATCATGTATTTAATTGTTATTATGCACAAAGCTACACAATTGGCTATTTTCACCGTGCGTACTGAAACCCGATTTTGAACTTTTTAAGACTTTAGACATATTGCTGAGCTATGGTGATCCATTAATCCTGTATTGAAATATTATGTTTACAAGATTGGGGCACATCTTCTAAGTACCAGTGACCTTTTGACTTTTGGCTCATGATCTCTCAAAGTTAATCAAGTTTAAAACTTTGTATGTAGTACCTGTTATACAAGTTTGGATAAAATCCATCCAATCTTCAGGTATTACGTTCACAAGATTGAGGCAGACAGAATTTCTAGATGCCTGTGCCCATTGACTCATGACCCAAGTTTGGTCAAAATACGACCATCCAATCATGAGCTATTACGTACTTGAAACCAAGGACAAGAGCAAACCAATATGCTGTGGAGCAGTGATGGTATAATCACCATTGACAAAACGACCCTAAATGAAGTAGACAAGTTCATTTACTTGGGAAGCACCCTATCAATAAATGTTTTGCTCATCAAGAAAATGAGATAGAGAATATTAGCACCTTCACACGTTTTAAAGAGAAACTGTCAGACAAAAGAGGAATTCAGCTTAAGATAACACAGGTACGTAGTTAAAACCTCAATGACCTATTGCAACAAAACTTGGATCACTCACAGATACAACATAAAACAACTGGATAATTTTTTTCTTGACTTGTGTGAGCAACAACATAAGAATAAAGTGACAACATACAATCCCCATCCCAGAGATACTAAAGAGAGCAGAAATAAATGGAATATAAGCCATGTTCAAAGTTCACCACCACAGATCAGGTAATCTAGTCCAAATATCAGACAAAAGCCTACCTAAAATAATGGTCTCTGGTCAACACTAATGGTTGTATAGCATAAATAACCTGAAGGCAAACCTTAAAAAAATGCAACTAATGAGCTTAAGATAAACCTCTCAGTGTGGGTACCTAGAGTTAATTGTAAAAAAACCCTTTCAAACTAGGTACATCTAGAATACACTAAAGGGTTTACAAAAAACAAAGCTACATTTAAAGCATCCAGATACATCAAATTCAGTTTCATATAAGTACCACCAGATTTTTTATTGCAACTTCTTCTGATTAGTCAGACTGAACGTTTTGTCTGTTATTTTCAATGTTAGTAATTTAATGGTAAAACTCATCATTCCATTAATACAAGTCAACAACTACTACACTTAAAGCCATGTTATACAGCACACCAAAGTTACTTTTATCTTAAACTAGCATTTATGTATTTCTCATTCTTATAACAAGATAAGACTGATAATTTAAATGTGTATCAGGATACAATTGTCCAGAACAGGCTTCTTGCAGTAGCTGTATTTAGGGATAGGTTTGATATGATGATTGAGAATGATAGAAAGCATAATGAACACTTTCTAAGATAGCTTTTGAAACACTTTGTGCCATGTTCAAACTTTTCCTGAATAAAACTTGTTTCTAAATGAGATTCCAATAAAGATAGTTCTTAGAAGAAATACCATTATTGCCCCCCCCCCCAATTATGGTAAAAAATTGGGCTGTAAAATTCATAGTAGCCTTATAATCTAAGGCAGACCACCACAGGCCCCTTCCCCTACTCTAGCCTGTAGCATTTCTGGATGTCCAGATAGTATCAGTCTATGGATGCATGCCAGATGTTCACTCAAGGTCATCACTAATTCTTGCAACTAATCCACCTGCAGCCTGTTCAGTTATATTATTGACTTTGTAGACCTAAAAAAAGAGCATTATGACACTCATTTTTTTTTCTTTCCCATGGTTTCTGCCTTATATTTGGTCCAATGTGCTAATTTTGAACAAATAGTCTTTTAAATACGAGTTTTTCTCTATAACCACTTTTTAATTGTTGTTCACTCATTTCGAAAATAAAGTTTCTTTTAGTTATTTTTTGTTTCAACTGATTTTCTGAGATATACTGTTATCAACCAAATATTTCACAGCTGATAAATGAAGCATTTACACAACAGAAGAGAACATCCAATTTACATTTAAACAACAGAAGAGAGCATCCAATTTACATTTACACAACAGAAGAGAACATCCAATTTACATTTACACAACAGAAGAGAACATCCAATTCACCTTTACACAACAGAAGAGAACATCCAATTTACATTTACACAACAGAAGAGAGCCTCCAATTTACATTTACACAACAGAAGAGAACATCCAATTCACCTTTACACAACAGAAGAGAGCATCCAATTCACCTTTACACAACAGAAGAGAGCATCCAATTTACATTTACACAACAGAAGAGAACATCCAATTCACCTTTACACAACAGAAGAGAGCATCCAATTTACATTTACACAACAGAAGAGAACATCCAATTTACATTTACACAACAGAAGAGAGCATCCAATTTACATATACACAACAGATTTGAAATAAAGATTCATGAAGTGCTGTTTGCCCAAAGTAGACGGAAAGAATGCTATCAACTTTTCCTTTTTCTTGACCTAAATATCAGCTCTAAGTAGGATTAAAATCAAATTTGTTTCCTTGAGAATTTCAGTAATACTTAAATGAAAATTATCACAATGCAATATAAAAAAATTCCAAACAAAGAAGTTCTTGTCAACAAGATGCGAATCCATTAGTATGAATAAAAACAGCGAAAATACCTTGTTCAGCAATTTCTACCTCCCGGCGACCAAAGGCAGCTTGACCAATGTTTTTAATACAAAAATCATCAAAGCCTTTTGAATTATTCTGAACTTTCTCTCGTGGAGTCGAGCCCTCTTCATCAGAGCTGGTGTCTGTGTAGGATGCTAGAATGAAGAAAGACTTCATCATTAGACAATTCTAAAAACAACGATTATGTTTTATGAACAAAATACTCTATAAAAGCACACCTGTACAGTATAATTATCATAATAAGCTATGAAGTGTAGATTTTATTCAGAGACTGTAGAAAATCTCATCAGATAAATTCAGTACAGAATAGAAGCCTATATTAAATTTTTAATACATTTTGAATATTGAAAGGAGCTAGAGATATAAACATTCTTGAGATACAAACAACAAAAGAAGACACTTGCATCAATATAGTTTGAATATTGAAAGGAGCTAGAGATATAAACATTCTTGAGATACAAGCAACAAATGAAGACACTTGCATCAATACAATTTGAATACAGAAAGGAGCTAGAGATATAAACATTCTTGAGATACAAGCAACAAATGAAGACACTTGCATCAATACAATTTGAATACAGAAAGGAGCTAGAGATATAAACATTCTTGAGATACAAGCAACAAATGAAGACACTTGCATCAATACAATTTGAATATTGAAAGGAGCTAGAGATATAAACATTCTTGAGATATAAATCACAAAAGAAGACACTTGCATCAATACAGTTTGAATATTGAAAGGATATAGATGTTTTACTAACCATTTGAAGTTTTTTTGAGTGACAAATGACATAAGACACTGGCTAGTATTGAAATGTCTAGCAACTACTTTTTAATTTTACTGGCTAGAATCTTTTTCAACAACATACTAATGGGAAAAGTACTAGTAGATGCCAAAATGTCCTACTACAAGTTTTATAAGCTTAACAGTTAGTACCTTCTTTAGTCAAACTCTTTTGAGGAATGTCCTACTACAAGTTTTATAAGTTTAACAGTTAGTACCTTCTTTAGTCAAACTCTTTTGAGGGTTAAGCTTATAAAACTTGTAGTAGGACATTAGTTAGTACCTTCTTTAGTAAAACTCTTTTGAGGAATGTCCTAATAGAAGCCTAAACTGCAAGTTACTTTAAATGTTAGTGGACAGAAACTTGGAAATGTTGAAACCTATAAATAAAATCTTTAACGTTTCTAAGGTACATAGTTCTTTCTATGGTTCATAAATGCATAACTCAGTATTATCTACTCTCTTAACAGTAAACAAACATTAAAACCAAAAGGAATTTTATTTTACCATTTCATTTTTATTCACAAAAATATAAGCATGAAGATTTTCCTACAAATCAATGAGCAAAACGACAAAAAACAGGAAGAAAAGAGTGCACGAGGTGCACACTGCCATCCAAGTTGCATTTTCATTCACGTACTGACACTTAAAGTCGACAATTTAACCACATATTGGACATGAAATGAATGATTTCTGGTCTAAACATTATAAAAATACATTTTTTATAACACTTGTTCAATAGTATATATCAGAGCAAGAGACAATGCTATGGACTGCTGTTCATTAAAGCGTCACTGAAGAAATGATATCCGCATTTCACTTTTCCCAATCTTGGTGAACAATTAAACAAAACACACATAACAAACACATG